TCATTCTTCCACTCCACTCAGCACTATCATATTCACGGTTATATTAGTAGAACCACTGGTGTGTGGGTCGTGGGGCGTCAGACTATACAAATGTTATGCCAACTCTTGCAAAACAGGCGGAATTGACAGGGGCAGATCTCTAGATTCTGTCCCAATGACTCACATTTCTGGTCCTCTCGTCCACAAGAATTTCTCCCAGCAATGACCTCAAATACCAGGACTCAATTTTTCAAAATTTTCTCAGGTTACTCAGTGATATAGGCACAATCATATATGACATAAACTTTATGTCAACTTAAAGTTCGTTATGTACGCCCCTGCATGTACATCAAGTTCGAAGATTCTACCTTAATTAGAAGGCGAATTATTATGTTCTAAGCAGTGTCGGATTCACCATTAGGCAAATCGGATTGAAGTCTCTACTAAACCTAAACAGAAAATGCTCGTCGTCCTCGAACTTAGTGCAGGTATTTTGTAAGTTTTCGAGCTCCAAAGTCTTGGCCAATCAAATTGCTTATTGCTCACCTTACACTGAGCAGATAATGTTCATTATTGAGCTTAGGCAACATGCTAGTGTAATGAAACTATACATAAACTTTTATCATTCCCACTTAATTAGGGGGGAGGCGGGGGTTGGGAGAGGTTGAATGGCCGAATGGTTAGCACGTGCGCACTGTATCACAAGGTCTGTCATTGAGTCAACTGGCGTGGTTTCGAATCCCCAGTTGTACGTGACAAGGAATAGGGTCGACTGTCTAGCCTCGTGGGTTTTCTCCGTGTCCTCCGGTTTCCGCCCACTGCTAAAGACCCCTACGCACATGCAAATTATTGAAATAAAATTGCACCATATGTTAGTCCCGAAATGACATAGTTTATGTAGAGTGGACGTTAAACCCCATCTCTCTCTCTCTCTCTCTCTCTCTCTCCCCCTCTCTCTCTCTCTCACACACACACACGCGCGCGCACACACACGTAAATTTGTGCTTTACCCCGTATTTAGATTTCAATGGCGTTTGACAGTCCTTTTACCAGAAGGGATGTATTTTTAACCGCGTGTTGTGTTGCACATACTGACGCTAGCGAGGTAAGCAATGTCTTATTTTCTCACTAAAATGTTCCTTTACATTGTTCACTGTTCAGTCGTTCACAGAGATTTACACACGACCGTTTAGCAGTAAAAAGTTGCCCAGTAAAATTGACTGGGGCTGATTTTAGTTTCGACAAGGATTCAATAGGACGGTTCCTGAACGTACAGGGCGAATGTAATGAGACCTACGTTCAGAGCTGAGCTAGGGACTATATGGCCCGCCAATAACAAGATACGTACAAGACTTATTATGATACAGTTTAAACAACAACAAAACAATATCTTGCATGAAAACAATAACCCTTATGAAAGAATCAAAATAATTATTTAACTACGCTTACCCCGTGCCCCACCTGTCATGACCGCCACCACAGACGTGGCAAGAACCAATACGACAAGGACCTTCATGTTGATAACTCCACGAATTGTCTCTGATTTTTCTGTCTCAATCCACCCAGTTATTTATAGGATATTCTAGATATCAATTATACTACATCTGTTGTTTTATAATTTATATATTAATCACGCTTTATAAAATCAAATTAATCTCGGGTTTCTCACAGGTCAAATTATATAGTGTCTTTTTTTCATATTTTCTAGTAATTCCATTTCGTATTTCATTCAATGCAATGGATTCTGCGTTTAATGCTGACGTAAATGAGATTAAATGGGGTTTAACGTCCCACTTTTGTGGACTAAGTAATGTCACTTTAGCAAAAACTGTATTTTTAGCCTTTTGTGGACTAACGGGTTAATGGGGGGGGGGGGACCTGCATACGGCATAAGGTGTGCTATGGTGCAAATTTTGCCAGGACAGCTGAGCTAGGAGCTGCTTTTATTTAGAATTTCAAACGCCAATGGTTCTTTAACGTACACGGTATGTTATCTGTTATGTATGCAAAACCCCAATCTATGCAAGTCATGGGTTACGTGACGACTTTGTTTGTGGCATGGGGTGGGGTCGCCAGCTATCCTCGGGGGTTTTATTTGAGTTACCAACATACATTCCGAGTTAGTCCCAAAATAATATGACACGTGACCTCGACGGGATTAATCTTGTTGAGGCACCTGCCCTGTTTGAAAATGTCGCTGGGGCTCTTGTATTAACAGTCAAATGGGGGCATATTCTGGTCATTGTCCGCCACATTCACACAATCGCAAGTTTTATGTCAGATAGACTTATTTGGGACAGATATATATAACATTATACATAAAATTAATTACCATGGTGAGCCTAACAAAAAACTTTGTAAACGGTCCCACTGTGGTCCCAAAGTATAATGTTTAACAAAGAACTGATTTGGGTCCCCTTTAATATATGGGACCTGGTGTTACATTATTTGGCAGGTTATGGCAAAATAAAACCTAACTATAAGACCATATAATAAAATATGTGTATAAAATAATAAACGTGGATATATATTATTTTTATTGTGCCAACAGATTGGAGTTATTATTATAATTGCTTGTTTAATCAAATAGCCAGAGGTAAACGACCACAGGTGTGTGTGTGTGCGTGTGCGAGAGAGCGAGAGAGAGAGAGAGAGAGAGAGAGGGTGCGTGGGGGGGGGGGGGTAACGTCCACTGTAAGTCATGTGGGACTAGCATATGGTTCAATTTTATTTCCGTGCGGGTCGTTAGCAGTGGGAGAAAACCGGGGGACCCGGAGAAACCCAACTAGGTTGGACAGGTGAACCTAATCCTTGTTACGCACAAATAGAGAATCGGAATCGAAAAACGCCACTTAACTTAATTACAGACCTTATGATCTAACCCACACGCCTTAAACCAGTCGGTCACCCAGGACAGAGAGAGAGGGGGGTGAGATGGGGTTTAACGTCCACTCGACAGAAACTAGGTCATTTCGGGACTAACATATTGTTCAATTTTACTTTAATAATTCGCCTGCGCGTAGGGGTCTTTAACACTGGGAGAAAACCCACGAGGTTGGACAGACGACGCTACTCCTTGTCACATACAGCCGAGGAATCGAATCCACACCAGTTGACTCAATGACAGACCTTTATGATACAACGCACGCGCGCTAACCATTTGGCCATCCAACCCCCATCCAACCCCCTTTAAACAATAGTACTTTCTTTAAGCATTTTAACCGTCTTTCTTTCTCGCTCCCCCCCCCCCTCTCTCTCTCTCTACATATATTATATATATATATTACAGTTATAACGGGGGGGTGGGGTGGATGGCCGAATGGTTAGCACGTGCGTGCTGTATTATAAAGCCTGTCATTGAGTCAACTGGCGTGGTGACAAGGAGTAGGGTCGCCTGTCCAACCTGGTGGGTTTTCTCCGGGTCATCCGGTTTCCTCCCACTGCTAAAGACCCCTACGCGCAAGCGAATTATTGAAATAAAAAAAATAAACCGTCTGTTAGTCCCGAAATGATCTAGTTTGTGTTGAGTGGACCTTAAACCCCATTTCTCTCTCTCCCTCAGTTATAACAGTTTCTATATAAACATAAATGTCAATTTATCGGGGGTGGAGGGGGGCAGCCTATCACCCCCCTTCTCCCCACCCTATGGCTCCGCCACTTAAAAGGACTGTTTTTCATTGTATTTACATACTATATAATCACTCCGTGTCCCCTCATTATGACCCCTGTCACTTAAAGTTGCAATTTCATATTCTTATGTTATATTTTTAAAATGTATTAAAATAAAGCCTTAAAATAGATGGTATCTATAAAAAGTCCTACCTTGTTAAAGAATAATCCTATTAATCCCATAATTCACTATTGCCAGTTGAGAAATTGGCAAAAAATAGCATTTTCAACTTCACATTCAAACGTTTAAAGATAGCTACTCCATTGGGGTGAATAGAAAAACAAGGGAGGTAATTGTGTTATTATTTCCGGGTTGAATGATTTTTAAGTGTGGGAATGATACCTATGATCGTATAATAGTGAGTTGATAACCTATTGAGCAAAAGACATAGAAATAATTATGTTTTGACTTTCTTTGAAAATATGAAATTCTCGCTTTAAAATGATTTTTTTTTTAGTTCCGCGTAGGGGTCTTTAGCAGTTGGAGGAGACCATATAATAGAGAAGTGTGTCGTCAGTGTTATATCAGTTGCTATACATAGACATAAACATAACAGTGGGCTCGTCAATATAAATAATAGTTCTATTCTTAACTCAAATTATACAAATGGAGTCTCTTCGAATTAAATCACAATGCATGTAATATAAAGGCTTTTTGGAGATTTTTAATGTCTTACTTTGCCATACAATTTCTATAAATGTTACCTGCCATGACAGGCCATGGCATGCTTTACAGACTGTAATAATTAAAAGCTCGTTAACAACACCCATGCAATCATAGTGTTAATCCAGTTATTCGGTTATATGGGGTTTAACGTCCGGGTTTAACGTCCCCTCGTCACAAACTAGGTCACTTAGGGACTAACACACGGTTCTATTTTATTTAAAAAATTTGCTTGTGCGTAGTGTCTTTAGCAATGGAAGGAAACCGGAAGACCAGGATAAAACTCACGACGTTCGATAGACGGCCCTACTCCTAATCATACACAAGCGGGGAATCGAAACCAGATCTTCTGAAATATCGTCAAACTCCAGCACAAATTTCCTAATTCATTGAAAATAAATACGGTAGCTATGATTAACTAACTTTTCGTCTTAAGCACTGACGATCGTTTGGTGAGAAATACACGAGCACACCGTGATTGGTTCAGCTCTCTCTCTCTCTCTCCCTCTCTCTCTCTCTCTCTGTATTGCCTGGTGCATTGGTACCTGTATTTATTAAGAACGTAAATAACTATTTGTAAAGGTACGTCTTGATACAATCAGCCATTATCTTGTTAATCGCTAATCTGTGACCTAACAACGTTATTCTGACAATCCCGTCAGTCTTTTCAAATAACCTCACAGTCAAACTATAGGCCTATCTAAGACAGACAGGCACGCGTCGATAACTACGCGGCAGTACTACCAGGCCTAATCTTTAAGTGACATTTAGTAATATAAATTAATAACGATACGAGGATACTTGTCGAAACGTTGTGCTTATATAATAAAACCAGCGATTGTTTCTCACAAAAATTTGTGTTCTATTTTTACCAGACCTGCGACGTTATTACATTCTCTCAACATATTTAAAAGATAAACATTTATATTAGAAATGTCATCTTTACGAATGATTCAAGGTGTTTAGTTCATGTGGTTTGTAAAATAAGAAGTTAACTTGGTTTACATGACACTGGAGTACAACAAACTGTTGCCAGAGAAACATTTAAAATGTTTGTCTTTAAAATTATTGTGTTTCTTTCACTGATTGTTCCAGGTAAGATATAGTATATAGACATGAGATGAAATAGGGTTTGACGTCCTACTTTTCTGCTCCACTAGGGCTAATGACGACGACCATACGCCATTCTGTGCCCGGACAGCGGCGCTGCTACGGCATATTTTTTTTCAATACCAGCAGTAAAGGTGTCTTTTACACCAACGTATACACTGGATCTCGGTCTTTTGTTCCACCTGTAAACGACTAAAGATTTAGACCAGGATATTCGGAAGCCGAATTATAATGTATAGTTAATCAAAGTTTAATATCGATCTTCTACACTGAGAAAAAAAAAACGTTTCCCTGGCTAAAATAACTTGTTTTTTGATTGGAAGTAATAAAATTGATTTCAAAATGTTGGAAGAGAACAACAATTTCCTAGTGTTACTATAATACAAAACGTTTTCTCATTCTAGATAAATATTCAGAATATTGTTCCAACGTCACTTCACAGGTCAGAAAACGTTGTTTATCCATTGTTTATTGCAGAAATTAACTAATAATTAAATATAATTTGATTTAAGGTTTTTTGAAGGAAGTGTCGTTTTGTTACGGTCCGGCAACCCTACTCTGTACGACAAACACGTTAACATGTCCGGACGGTGAGGTATTATCTGTACGAATTGCCGAGTTTGGTACTGACGATCCGTCAGAAAATTGTCAGAGTGGTGCTAACGTTTGTAATGGTGGATCAAAATGCTGTAAATTTTCTCTAGGTGGAGAAAAAAAATACCCATTTCCATCAGCACTATTTGATAAAGTTCAACATACCTGTATTCACAAGCCATTTTGTAATGTTAATATAACATACGACAGCTCAAACAATTACACATTTACACGTTATATCTTCGACTGCATTAGAGGTTAGTAATCAGTGATTTTTGGTTAAGCTTATTTAGTGCCGTCTGTTGAATCTTATATGCCAACTTTGAGAGAGAGAGAGAGAGAGAGCATAGAGAAAGATAGGGGGTACTGTCCACTCGACACAAACTATAACTCATTTGGGATTAACATATCGTTCGATTTTGTTTCAGTAATTCGCTTGTGCATAGGGGTCGTTAGCAGGGAGATGAGAGAAAACTGGTGGACCAGGAGATAACCCACTAGGTTCAACAGGAGATACTATCCCTATTCCGTACAAGTAGGCGGTTGAAACCACGCCACTTGACTCAATGAAAGACCTTGTTAAATCATTCGGCCACTCAAATCCCTGTCGGTATAATGGACGGCTAATAATAGAAAATAATTATATGCTATTTTTTGATTTGAATCACCAGTATAAATACAAACTTGAAAAATATATTTTTATGTAATATTTAAGGTTTATTTTATTTTTTATTTTTTGCTCCAGAGTCAAATATATTGAGCATGGTGTGTAAGGATGACGTCACTACGAACTTGCATGCCTATATGTTTTACTTTGGTGATCTGAGGAGAGATTCTCTGGGTATCAATTGTTCTTGTACGATTAGTTCGGACGCCCAAACACTCACCCTCTATACACAATATATACAACTAGATGCCGCTACTTGTCCCAGTTTCTCAACCATGCTTTCTGACCTACAATTACCACCTTGTACCAGTAGTGGATTGCAAGAGACGTATCGTTATGTTACTCATATACAAACTCCTGTGACTTTAAAGGTAGAGAATCTACTGGCTAGAACAGATGACATCTTTTGGCTACAGTTTACAAACAATGGCCGTAAGTTAAACATGCGTTATGCAAGAGCTAAATCTGCCTATTGCAGGTCTTTCGTTTGGCCTGAAATGTTATCTAAATTATTAATTAGACATTAATTAACTTATCCAGACCATAATCAACTCTCGATATCATCGCTAACCTGCGATATTTACTGGATTAGGATCGGATTTGCTGCTCAACTTTCATTCATGATTTAATTATGAAATGGATAATCGAGACTATTTTCTTTATCGTATCGACTTTAGTAATGATGATCAAGGCTAGGTCGAAATTTCGGTTCAGCGTGGACTAATTCGACTGAAATTTTCAGCAAATTGCTTTTACATTATTTACTTTTTAACTATTATATTGAGAACTTCCAGCTCTTTATCTAATCTCCCATAATGTATACCTTTAATTTTATTTATAAACATCTACAAAGAATTTCCGGTGAAGAGCGTGGACGTCAATCTCAACTGCCTTGTAGTATATTTAGATCACATAATGTATGCTATATTTATTTTAATTTATAAATCTCGGCCCTTTGGGGTAATTTGATTTCATAATTTTCTTTCTGGTACTCAAGCAAAAATTTCCCCATGCCTGTTGAAACTATGAATTTTGCTATAAAAATCAACAAAGTCTCTCAATTGTCCATAATTTATTCCCTAAAACTTCCATGTATTGGCAAATAATAATTTTTAACACGTTATTTTCAGAAGCACCAATAACAGTATCGTGTACTGGTTGTGGAATTGACGTAGAAGGTATTTATCTTTAATCTTAAAACTATAATTACCAACAATTCATACGCAAAGACTGCTACTGTGTCACGGCTGCTTTCAAGACAGCTATGATAGAGAGTTGATCATATTCCTGAAGCAATGGCCCGAGAAATCCCTCTCTGCCCATTGCTGAATCGGCTTCTGATACCTGAGCTTTGGAGTAAGTGTGTCTATTCTTCCCGTTCAATCAATTCTATCCCAAGCAGAGGTGGATCCCATCACCCCCCCCCCCCCTCTGCTCAGCTACACATTTTTTTTTTGTAAATCAACAATTTTTATGAGAAAAGTTTCTCGGCCGTGTGCTTTATCCTTTAACGTCAGATGTGTGACAGGATGGGCACTCAAAGCACGAGATAATGATATAGACATTATGTGATATCACAATTAATGCTTTGCATCCATGAAATTGAATCACAATGTCATTGTATTAATTCATAATTAAAATTGACGTCGAACGAGGTGTTGAATTTCTCTGTTTAAAAAGCTCAATGTGTATGTATATACGCCAAAATGACGATAGAGACCATGCGGGAGGGGGGGATACATTGTCTCAAGAACCTGGCAAACCCCCTCCTGCAAAAATTCCTGGATCCGCCCCTGCCAAGTGCAGCAATATGACAGTCCTTCATTTAATCTGGGGTCTTCCCTAAAACTTTTGACTGTGATTTAAGGTATTAAAAACGGTAAAAGTCTTGTTTGTCTCAGATACAGTATTGTTTACATTGTGTCAGTGTTGATAGCCTCGTTTGTCACGCAATTAGTTTTTCTGCAATATTCTGCTTTTATTTATTTATTTATTTATTTATTTATTCTTCAAGTAAAGGTTACAACGTGACAATAAATTAATGTATTATAATAAGAACTAGTGTCGCATTACACGACTGGGAAAGTGACAACAATAAATACAGATATGTATATGAAAATAAGAACTATGTGCTACATTGTAATGTGGGATGCCATATGAGACAAGCATAGAGAAATATGATAGCTATGGTGTCATGAAGAGACCTTTACTTAGGATAGCCCATAAAGCCTGACGTTAATTGGTTATAATAAAATCGTGAGTCATGACGTAACGTTATGTAAACATAATATTTGGTCCAATTGGGAGCTCTGTTTATAAGCGTAATGACAATGTTACGCATTTAGCTATTGACCAGTCATAATCTGGAACAGAAATTTGCTCCCATTAAAGCCGTGTTTAGTGTAATTAGTTCTAATCAAACGAAACACTGCGGGGAGTATGGAAGTTGATGGGAGGGACGACATACACCAATTGAAAACAATCGCACGTTCACAACTGATAAAAGATACCACTGCACAAAGATTCTTTAAAGTATAAGAGAAGGGAATAACCCGTTTTGTCATTCGGCTAATGTCACTCGGCTTAATGGGGCACACATACTGACATGGTCAAGTTGGTTATTGACGTTGCATTGCGTCCAAAGGAAAGGGCGCCTTTGGTGCCCTTTGGGGCCCCAATTTTTTCCAGGGCCTGATGTAGCACATTTCATCAGCCCGGTCGGAACAGAAGAGTAGAAATTTGATTTCATGTTTTAGTCATTATAGTTCATGTTATCTATTTATAGGTGCTTGTGGAAGAACAGAACATATCGCAGAATATTGTTATGGCGCTGAAGAATGTTCACAGCATCGTCTCGAGTGCAAGGATAATCAGAAAATAGCTCTGACGTCATCTACTTATTTTGGTCATATACCTTTCGTAAATCCGAACTGTGAAAGGGGTAGTTGTAATAGAAACAACGAAAGCACTTGCTGTAGATATAAAGCTCGGGATGTTTTGGAGACGTTTGAAGATAAAGAATTAGAAGATTTGTATAATGAGTGTGCTTTGAAGCAGTCGTGTGTAGCTACTCCCCAGTATAGTAAACCGGGCAGTAATAACTATGCCTATTATAGGTATGAGTGCATACCAGGTAGGTCCTACTTGCTTTTACTATTTGGTTGCCTTGTAGATAAAGCTCATATAGCTTGCATTTGTATACTATACTTTACACATAGAAATTTTATTACAAAATGTTATTGTTCTATATTGAAATGAGGAGTAACGTCCTACATTTCTGTACCAATTGGGCTAATGAAGTCAGACGTACACCACACAGTGTGCTATGAGGGAATTTTTGCTCGCACAGGGTGCTCCGACCTACTCTTATTTCGAAGTCCAACTGTGATGGGTTCTTTTACGTGCACGGGACCTCGGTTTTTTCGTATCATTCGAGTGACAAGGCACTATCCTTGCCAGGCACTACATCCTGTACCACTGACAAGGGGAAAGCACGCTTGAAAATTCCATAGAATCAATTCGATTGTTACTAAATTGTCACCCTTTAGAAGCGACCACGCACCTATTCAACTCTTCGGCAGGTGTTTTTGTGGAGGCCCAAGAAGAGGAAAACCTAAGGAATGAGACGGCAGTGGGGATTCTAATGCTTGGATTAGGGAGAGAGTGGTTGGGAGGGGCGGGAGAAGAAAAATAATCTGCCCATCAATTGCACTTTGTTCTATAGTCTAGCGCACTTTACCCCCAATGCTTATATCTAAAAGACAAAGGGGCAAACCAGTATACTAAACTAATACCACTACGCCTCATTATAAATTGCAGAATCCAGTATCCTGAACGTCATGGAATTGGGATAAAAAAATTTAAGGTGTTTTGAACGGTAGAACGATTTACCCGATACTACCTAACCCAATACCACTACACTCTACCTCATTATTATACATTTCAGAATCCAGTATCCTGAACGCCATGAAATTAGGATCAAAAAAAGGATTTTCTGAGGGATTTATAAATTATAACGGCAGTACTAGAAAACCTGCGACTACAATTGACTGTAGTTGTAGAATCAGCTCTCCTGGGGCTACTATAACTGTTAATGTCTACGTATTGCAGCTTCATCCCGATACTTGTTGTAAACTGACCATTTCATCATCAGATGGCAACCTTCCTGAAGCATGTACTGAACAATCCGGTGTGAGAAGCTACTCAACTCAAAGCAAGGTTTTTAATTCGCCAATCACCGTTGCTTTTCATAAGATGGCCAGCAAACCGGCTGATTTGTTTTTTATTCGATTCAGCAGTGGTAAGAACAGTTAAATGTATACCCGACATCCGTCTGTCTGTCCATTTCTCCACGATTGTTGTAAACACCTTCTAAAGGTCACTTTTAAAGACTTTTATTTCAAAGTTTCTGTTATTGTTCGCCTAAAGGGGTCACATAGATGTGACCCTTAATGTCATGTATCAAATTATAGTGATTCATTGCTGCTGTCAAAGAAACCCCATTTACCGTCTTTGAAGTTCAGAGTTTTTGTTTCAAACTTCCTTTTTGGATTGTTCGGCCAAGTCATCAGGACTTGTACATCCTCGGCTTCCCAATGATGTCGTTCCGTTTTACTCTACGGGATACAGAGGATATAGCATCAAAAGCATATAATAGTACACTGTAATCTTTTCATCCCCCCCACACACACGCACACAACTGAATATCACCCGTCTATTCTTTATGGTGATTTTATTACAGGAAAGGGAATTGATATAGATTGTGATGGTTGTCCAGAAACAACTGATGGTGTTAATGGTAAGATATATCGACTATTTTATAACAGCCGGGAATTGATTTATCATGTTGGGTCACTTTTTTCTATTATGTGTAATAAACACTCTTCAATAGAACTATATAACACAAAATGTTGGGGTCTTTATGAATCAATCTATTAGATAGCTTTATGAAACACCCTGCTGGAGAGCCTTATGAAACACTCTACCTGAGAGCTTTATAGAACACTGTGCTAGAGAGCTTTATGAAACATTCTTCTGTGGGAAGTTCAAGAAACACTCTGCTAGACAGCTTTACAAAACATTTCGTCTGAGAGTTTCACGAAGCACTCTGCGGGCGAGCTTTATGGAACACTCTACTAGAGGGCGTTGCTTGCAGTTATCATCAGGGTTGTGTCCGTACGTAACTAATGTACGAAAATTAATTGGTGGCTAGCTTTTTTTTCGCACGTATACAGTGAATGGCCATTTTGCTCAGTAATCCCAGCCAGAATTTGGCTATTTTCTTAAATTTGCGTTAAAGTTTAAAATATTTGTTTTAGAACTGAAACACATTAACTATTAGTCAATCCCAACGCTAAAAACATCAACAGAATTGATTGTGTATATCTGAAATAGACCCGACCGACGCACAAAATAGTGCAATATGGCGGCCTCTATGAACAACCCTCGCCGACGCTGTCATTGAAGACAACGTCAATTCTATGAGTTGTAGATGTTTTTTTTGTAAAAAAAAATCATTGGAAGAAGAGAGAACATGTTGGGACTGTACGAATTATATAGTCTTTATGGGTAAAACGGACACAATGCTGAAGATAAGCCTATTGTTTACAATGTTGACCTCATGACCCATTGACGCCAATGTCATGACCTGTGATGTGTCGATCACGTGATATGGATATCATGGCTACTGACTGTGTCTGAGATACTTCTCCGCAGGTAGGGTGTCTCAGATGTTCAGAATGGGTTGTGTCAATACTTATAAGAGGGCTGGTGTCAATACTTACTAGATTATTACTATCTTACAATGTTAATTTAATGGAGAAGCCATAGTGAATGAAATAGGTTAATATTGTGTGGACGCCGGTTAGACCCTTTTATTATTTTTCAGATGTATGCAGTTATAAGGCGCTACAAGACGGTTAGTGTCAATACTAATTTATCATTATCTCAGAACGTTGATTTAAGGGAGACGCCATAGTCCAAACCATCTATCTAAAATGAAATACCAACGTCTAAGTGTCGGGTGGAGTTGAAGCGAGCTGTTCCCCTTGTCAATTTTAAATTGCATATGTTTATATTTATTTTTTCATGTTAACTATTATTAACGAATGTGTTTTAATACACCAAATCTCATAATATGTTTGTATTTATTTTAGAATTAACGTATGTGCTTTAACAAAAAAAAAAAAAAATCATATGTTTATATTTATTTTTTCATGTCAACTACAAGTTATTGCATATTTACTGAATGGACGATGTTTTATTTTAAAATTAACGAAATGCACTTGTTTATTGCAATTGTGTAATGCTCTACTCGTATATACATTCGACCTGACTTAACAATTAATCAACGGTATTAAGATTGTTGATTGGGTAATCGAGTTCCGGTTTATTTTCATCGTCAAAGAAAAAGACAGAGCTGTAAGCGTTTAAGTAGATTAGTGAAAGCGCGTTTTTATTTCAAAATTATATTATGTGTATTTTATTTTCAGCCGCAAATGACAGTTTGGATAAACCGAGAAATGTCGCCCAAGGAGAGAAGTTATACGCCTTTTATTATGCCCATTTGTTTTTAATTACTTACTGTTTTCTTATTTGCTTATTCTAAACGATTTAATAGTAAAACGTTATTGTTAGTACGTTTCAAATTATTTTTATTTATGCATTATCTTCGAATGTAAAGAATTTTCGTTTACGGTAACATTCCATTCCTAGATTTGTAATATTGGCTAATCACAGTCAACGAACCCGTGACCCCCGGTCTTCGCAGACGTAAGTTTCATCATGGCGGATCAATTCAAACGAATCTTGATTGTGATTTTACAAAGAAGAATCATGGTGGAAAATGGAACGTAAGAATTCCAAAATAACCATAGAAACGAGGTGGGGGAAAAGTCTTATTTTAATAAAATAAAACCAAGTACGAACATTCCAAACCATAAGACAGAATTCGAAGTCCTAAAAAACGTTATAGGCAAAATAGTGTATTCAAGCAGAATAGTGTAATCAGCAAATGGACTGCTCCTCGTGTACAAATTACACGACAAACAGTGGTAACAGGTGTCCGGAAGAGTAAGCTTACCCTGCCTGGCGCCACACCCGCCATAGCTGCATCCTAACTATTAGACGAAATCTAAGCAAAATAGCGTGATTGGCCAATGGACTATCAATGACAGCCTACACCGGTTGTGTTCCCAAAACAAACGGTATATGCAAAATAGTGTAATCAGGCAAAATAGTGTAATCAGCAAATGGACTGCTCGCCGTGCATATAATACACGACAAACATTAGTAACAGGTGTCCGGAAGAGTAAGCTTACCCTGCCTGGCGCCACACCCGCCATAGCTGCATCCAAACTATTAGGCGAAATGTCGGTAAAATAGCGTGATTGGCCAATGAACTATCGGTATGCAAAATGCACGCGATGAACTGTGTTAACGATGTAGTAGATATTATCAGGGAGATAGTAATAGTATACGTGTCAATTAAATATATCTAGAATAATAGCCGAGAGAGACACGTTATATTTACCAATCAAATCAATATGACGGCCATAAAACTTTTTAAAGGTTTTAATAAGTTTAGTGCGCAAGTATCCTTGTAGTTGAAGCTTAGATGACAAATGCCTCGATCTACTTAAAAAATCAGAATAAAAGGAAAGTTTTCTGCATTCCATATATTCTAATTTCTCTACCCTCTTGTTCAATAAATTTAGCTTTATTTCTAAAATTTTCAACCTTTTTGGTTGCATCTTGATCCATAGACAATACGTACTGATAACTTTAAACTCAAAGGGTATCGAAAGAAAGGAGTTAAATGTGGGGAAAATGAAATGAAATAGGGTTTAACGTCCTATTGTTCTGTTCGGGCTAATGAATACGGCCATACGACACACAGTATGCTATGAGGAAGATATTGCCAGAACAGCTGCGCGATGACCTACCTTTATATCGAATTCCATCTGCCAAGAGTTATTTTACGTGCATCCCAATGTGTACACGAGACCTCTATTTTTTGTCCCATCCGAACGACTATACGGACGAACCTTCTCCGTCAAAGTTGGGGATAGAACACGAGGTCTCCAGGTAAGCAAGCCAACAACTTACTCACTGAACCACCGCGACTGGCATGTTACATTGGAAGTTTGAAGTAGGGTAGGTAGGAAGCTAGGAATTGATGGATCGAGAAATGATGGAAGGAGTATTATAATGTAAGTATTAGAAGTCACGCATGGGGTGGTAAGCATTGGAAATCATTGAAACTATTGCAGGTCGCCCAGACAAGGGCAATCTTATAATGTTCATGCTTTGAAAACAAAACACATTTCCTTGAGGAATCTGGTTATTAATGATAATAACAGGTTAAGAATTATCTGCCAGTCCAACAAACCATGTAGTATAGTAACACTTTGCAAAATATGTTCATTCATGACCAAGATTGTGGTTATGTTGAGGTATTACGCACACTAATTCTTGTAAATGCTTGAATCTTGTTGCCTTTATTGGAAGTGGAGCTAGGTACAAGGATGGAATATCTGTGACATCAGATGACATTGAAGATCGTCTTTGAAGTAGATTTTCATAATCATCATCGAAATTTAGTTTATAGGACGCTACACAGGGATTATATTTAAGAACATGAATATCGTTATCTTTGGGGCACGTTAATGTTCTTCCTGGGGGTTTCGATCCTTTGATATTTATTGACGGTTCGTCAATTACATTATAGACCGTGTATGCTAGTGCCAGAGATACTTTCATCTCCAAGTTTTCGATCAGAATGAAAATTGACGCTAAAACACTGATCGTGTGATTGACGGAAAAATTGAACGTGTATGGGCCTCTTTAGAATAACATACCATCAATAAAATCAGACGACACACGTGGGTTCTGTTTTTTGACATACGATATTTTAACCCAAACCCCGGACCTAGCCCTAACGCTTACCCTAACCCTAACCTTCAATCTCGTCAACAATCACATGTTCTAACCTTATTTACATCTCAGCAACCTTGACGAAAATTTGGCCTTAGATCTAGCCGGCAGAGGTTCTGAGATGTTTTACAAGCATGATGGGATTGTACTGAGGATGAATCATGTTGAAACTACGAGTCTCGCAACGATTGCCTGTGGAGTTATTGTCAATATTGCCGAAACATTGAGCATGTTCTTTTAGATTTGTTTTTCCAACATGCTGTGATTGTGCGCAGGTTTACTGCCCTTGTTAGTAACAATTGTTCGGCTAGTTAAATTCAGATTCGCCCATCTGAGCCTGAAAACTTGAAATCCACCCCAACAGGGCTGTTGGAGGGCGTACATTCGTAGTCTGGAAAAACTGTGTTCTTTGTTGAAAATCATGTTTCAACATCTTGTTACATTCAGTAGTAATTAGCAAACGGATCAGCAGTGAATATGGGTGCGATTCAATTGGCTCACAAATAAATAAATGTGTTTGAACTATATCTGGATAGAAAATATCATCTATTTAGTGCGAGATATATATGAATTGAATTTTGTTTTGGTGAGAAGCCAGAAATTTGGGGTATACCGGCAGCTTGAACTGTGGAGTGACACAAGCCTGGTGGTCAGTTTCCTAGTTATACTACTTCCGAATTCGGAGATCTACTAACCCCGACTTCACGAAATCCCTTGTTGACCCTTTACGCGAGACGTTTCCAACCAAAACACCAGTAAACCACTGACTGGGGAGACGTTTCCAACCGTAACACCGGTAAACCACGGACCGGGGAGACGTTTCCAGTCGTCAAAATCAGTAAAATTTAGGCAAGACGAGCAATAATACATTTATTTTATAAATGATATATTTTAACCAAAAATAATAACAATACATATACCACCGGACTTTTTGTAACAATATTGTACAAATACGAGCATACTATGGACAAAGAAACCCAACATGACGGCATGGATATATTCGAATTCGAGCGAGCCAATGGATGCGCATTTGTCCCGAGCCCCGAGAAGAAGAACAATAAGACCAACAAAAAGGGAATTCAAACGCTTAAATCTAAAACGATAGACTTATAGACATATTATTAGTAGTTGCTGTTCAAGGAAAAGGCGAATCACGTTTTATAGGCTTCCATGTTTCAAAACAAAAACATATAAACCGACGCCTTTGTTTTATGTCATCTGTCCAAAATTTGCGTCATTGAGATCAAACTCGTGTTCCTCCTTCTTGAGCAATTTTTGCAAGTTTGAAAATAACAAGCCAAAACCTATGACCTGTAAAGCGTGTACAGTGGTGACGACAATATACTCCTATATAAAATGTAGACGTATAACAAATAGAAATTTCATTGGTTGCACTGTTTGGTTTGCGATGGGGTGGGGTGGTGTGGGGTTGGGTGTTCATAATACTCAAGAATTAATCTTACATTCTACCTGCAGGGCCCTCACAAGCCTATGTGGCGCCCCAGGACAAAAGTTTCAGTGTAGCGCCCCCACACTCCCCACTTGCATACTGTAACTGCTTTGTTCAGTGCCTGCGCTCAGTTAATTTTATTATGATTGAAGAATTTTTAAAATACACTTTTTATACTTATAACACGTTATCTAAATAACTATTTATTAAATCAACTTATTATATGTAAACTTTTTATGTTTATTTCCCCTTTAACTCTTCATTTAATCGATAAACCCTACAATAAATCTTAGAAAAATAATAATTCTTCCCTCTCTATTTGCTGAAATATGTACTGGTTTACACAGGTTTAGGGGAAGCGACGGGTGGTGATTTGTTATCTCAATCAAAGGGTCCCCCTTTGAATATTTCTTGTATACACTTAGATAATTTGCCGCCCCCAAGTTGTGTCGCCCCCGGGCATATGCTTCCCTCAGTCCCCTGTCTACCTGGTAATATAAGTTATGAAACTAATTACTAAAGGAATATAAGTAATATTTATTATCAGTTATAAAAATTAACTGAGTAAAATCTAATCATTAAAGTTGTATTATGTAAGATCTAAATCTGCCAATTGCAGATAACATGGCAAAGCCACAATAAACTCTAGACCATCTGTATAATCGTGTCAATGGTATTTAACAACCGAATAAAGTTTTTGACTAAAAGTTTAAATATATTCATTTTTTATTATCTATTATAACAAGAACAATCTTATTAAAACGTCCAGCTCCTTGTATAAATCTCACATAATACATCTTTAAACGGTGATATATTGTATAACAATACATCAAGGAAAGACTCAAAATTAAAATATTTCTAATAATACAATATGGAACATGTGAGATTGTGAAAGAGTATATTATATGGTTTTAGAAAGACTCCATTAAATTGATTCTAACAAACAAACAGTGGGTTTGATTTCCCCCGCCGAAATCTCAAAATAAATATATGATAAATATTAATTGTACATTTACTTTTTTCAAAAGTAGAGCAAAAATTGGTTATCTATACAATTAGTCTAAGCATAAAATGTTCGTGATCAAAGTCAGTCAAGGTTTTGAAGTACCTGGTAGTGAAACTATACACTAAGTTCCATCACTCTCCACAGCTAGAATCAAAGTTATCGTGTCCCAAAGCGTCGACCAATGAAATTGCTTAGCTTAGCTTTAGCGGGAAATGTTAATCATTAAACTCATTCAAGACATTCACCTGATGAACATCTACATCAAGTTTAGACATTCTACCTTAATTAAAAAGGCGTGAGACTATAAATTAATATGGAACATGTGAGATTATGAAAGAGTATATTATAGAGATTTAGAAAGACAGTATAACAAACGTTATATCCATCTTACAAACAAAAATTAGATGCATAAATTAAATGAATATGGAACATGTGAGATTATAAACGAGTGTATTATATGGTTTTAGAAAGACAGTATATATATACTAAAGTTATATAAAATTAGATACATATAAAATAAGTTTAAAAATCTTCATAAAAATTTTATAATTCCCAAGTCTAAGCAGTTAAGGGAATTCTAGGCACTTTGAATTATCTAATTTTGTCTATATCTAATCAGTAATCTTAACCCGTCTAAACACTTCTATTTAAATCGATTAAAATGCCATCTTAATACCAGTTACTTCCCTTTGGTCAAGCCAGTTAAAAACTCATCCCTTTCCAACTTGGTGTTATTGACATTTGTCTGTGTCTTCTAGGTGCATGCCGATCTCTATGGTAAAATAAAAGAGAGTAGAAAAATTCAAAAATGACAGGAGATTTGGCTTTTAATGCCAAAAATAGCTTGAGTGTACCGACTGGATGATTTCTGAACCGGATGTAAACCCATTACATGGGGAAGCTCTGATTATGTCTGTTAAAAGTTCAATCTTGTCGAGTATGGTGCCACTGATATTTTTCTGTGTGCTTTGGCTCCAGATCCACTTCTATGGTAAAAAATAAAAACATATTTAACTATGACATGGATTTCGTCTTTAAAAAGCCACTCCCATTTAGCGATTGTCACGGATCTCCTGGTAACAGTCTTTGTCCTCGATTTTCAAGCGCAAAATTTGAGACTTTTCTTTCCAATGATTGAAAAGCTTTGTTCAACTTAAGCCAGGATCTTGGTTAATGATGCATTAAGAATTAGATACAGAGCTATCAGTCCTTGCTATAATAACTTGTTTCAATGGCATTTAGTAATTGAACTGGAATATACAGGTTACAATTCTGTGCGAAGTATGAATGTTTGAAGCGTTGACCAAATGTGTCGTAGATTATTTATTATCGTAGTAACGGTACTTGACAACCGAGACTAAGTCTTGATTATCTATTCTAATCTACTTGAAATCGGAGTCATCCGATGGCACAGGGAGTTGATTATGAGTTTGTCATAAATGTTTAATTACTAATTGGTATAACATTTGAAGCCAGAATAAAAAAAAAACATGACGCAAAGCGCATCATTGCGCCCCCCACCCCTTCATTTAGCCCCATACGAACAAATAATCTATTTGGAATTATGTACTTTTGTAGAACTTTATTACGTCGAAGAAAATATAGTGGACGAATTGAAATCCGAACTATAATATTCAAATTCAGTCTAATCTGTTTAAAGTTTGAGTAAAACCAAACCCAATATTATTTCAGACTAGTTTTATATTGGAATACAATAGCAAATTGAGATTAGGGTGCAGCGATTAAAATTGTCACAAATTTCTGAGAGACTTAACGGATAACCCACCTGCGCTTGTAGACATCATTTTGAGGATAGCTACCACTACCTATTGGATTACTTGAGCAGCAATTACAACAGAAGCGTAGCCGAAACGACAGCCGGTAATCAAAAGTAATTGAATTCCATAGAATTGTGACCTGGATTCACGATATCGGTACGGGGTTGGGTGGCTGAATGGTATAAAACGTGCGCTTGTGCTTTAGATATTACTGTCTTTCAGTGAGTTAAGTGGGGTGGTTTCGATTCCTAGCGTGTACATGACAAGGAGTAGGGTCGCCTGTCCAACCTAGGGATTTCCTTGGGTCCCTCCGGTTTCATTCCACCGCCAAAGATTCCTACGCGCAAGCGAGTTATTGAAATAAAATTGTGTTAATTTTCATCAAAAACCAACTCACCCTTTACACTTCTTGCAGGCACAAATAATGCCAATAATAATACCAATAAGCGCCAGGACACCTATCACTGAGCCTGCTGCTATTGGTATAATATCAGCTGTAATATAACACAAAAATAAAATAACATACATTTATCAATGATATTACAAGATCTAAAGATTGTATTTTTACTGACAAGTCCATAGAAGGAAGGAATTTCTTTATATATTATTGGTCTTTTTTCTTCATTCCTTGAATGATGATCTATTGTGAGCAGATTCATAAATTGTTCTTGTTCTATATTTTGCAACAATCTAGAGAGAGGGGTTACACATAAGCATAACCTGTTTCCCAATCCAAATTCAGATATTTACTGAATAAAATATTGTTCATAAAAAACCCTAATCTATTACAAAGCTGTGTGGATTCCTGTGGACCTAACGGTAACACTCTGATATCAAAAGAGTCTCGGTTAAAACAAAATCAAATAATTTTGTGTCCAAGATATGTGTGAAATATTGGTTTGATTATTGGCAGGTATGGCCAGGTACAAGCTCATTGCGATTCGAGAAGCTCTTACGTCTTACTGGGTTATACGCCACACAGTGTGCTATGAGGGATATGTTGCCCAGACAGCGGCGCTACGGTCGACTCTTTTTTCTAATTCAAACTGTCAAGGGCCCTTTTATGTGCATGTCAACGTAACGTAAACACTGTACCTCGGTTTTTCGTCCCTTCAGATCTATTAGGCGCTATCCTTGCCCCCTCCCCCCCCCCCGCCGCAAACACGCCCTGGACCACAGACAAGGGGTAACATATCGCTTCAACTCCATCCGACAGTTGGACGTTGAGTTTTTCATTTAAAAGGGCTACTGATGGTTGTTTTGGACTCAAATAACAGGCGTCTACACAATATCAACCCAATCTATTCACGATGATTTCTCCTGATATAATAATAAAATAGAATGTAAGTATTGACACTAACCGTCTTGCTGTTGGGCCTTATGATAACTACATACATCTGAAAAATAAGAATAGTGAACAATAACTAAGAAATACAACACCAAATCAAAGATTTATACAAATAATAGATACAAGGATTGTCGAAACACTCTCCACGTTGTATAAAGCTTTCTTGCGGAATGTTTCGTAAAGCTGTCAAGAACCATGATTCATAAAGACTTCTCCAGCAGAGTGTTTCCTAAAGCTCCCTAACCAGCGTGTTTACCAAAAGTCTCCAGTAGAGTGTTTCATAAAGCTCTCTAGCAGAGTGTTTAATACACACAGTGGAGAAAAAGAGAGAGAGAGAGAAATGGGGTTTAACGTCTACTCGACACAAACTAGGTCATTTCGGGACTAACATATGGTTTAATTTTATTTACACAATTCGCTTGCGCGTAGGGGTCTTTAGCAGTGGGAGGAAACCGGAGGACCCGGAGAAAACGCACGAGGTTGGACAGGCGACCCTACTCCTTGCCACGTACAACCGGGGATTCGAAACCACGCCGGTCGACTCAATGACAGACTTTATGATACAGCGCGCGCACGCTAATCATTCAGCCATTCAACCCCCCTCACAGTGGAGAAAAGGTGACACAACATGATAAATCAATTTTCGGCTGTTATAAAACTGTTTCTGAAAACGGGTAACCAAATAGATAAGGAATTGATGATTATTAACGGGAGCCCCCATGTTGAAACGAGAGAGAGAGAGAAATGGGGTTTAACGTCCACTTGACACAAACTAGGTCATTTCGGGACATATGGTTTAATTTTATTTCAGTAATTCGCTTGCGCGTAGGGGTCTTTAGCAGTGGGAGGAAACCGGAGGACCTGGAGAAAACCCACGAGGTTGGACAGGCGACCCTACTCCTTGTCACGTACAACCGGGGATTCGAAACCACGCCAGTCGACTCAATGACAGTCGCGCGCACGCTAACCATTCAGCCATTCAACCCCCCCCATGTTGAAACGAAGAACCAAGCTGTAGTTCATTACCTTATCTATTTTTAGGTTTGCAAGTAAAAGGGTAGATCTAGATTTCGCAACTAATTAAATGTATAGAAAAATGCATTTCAGTTTTTCTAAAATCATCCAATAATACAGTGTCGTTATATATTCATATCTCTCTACAAATATGCAATCAGAAAATTAGTCGATATATCTTACCATTAATAGCATCTGTTGTTTCTGTACAGCCACCACAATCTATATCAATTCCCTTTCCTGTAATAAAATCACCATAAAGAATAGACAGGGGTGATTTTCTGTTTGGGGGAGGGGGGTACAATATGTGATTATATCGCCAGGGAGCGCGGCGAGGCAAACATGCTTTTGGTGCTTCTTAAAAGTTGCAATTATATGGTCCGCGATGTGTTTTTAGTAAAAATTAAACTCGACCCACCTCTAATGTCCCTAAACATGAATTTACAAGAATATGAAGCTTTAAATTTGAAATAATCAGCAGCAAGTTTTTTGAAAAGATTAGCCCGGATGAGTAGGCCGAACAATCCAAAAATAGAAGTCTGAAACGAAAACTCGGCCTACAAAAGATAACTAGGTGTCTTTAACATCAGCAATGAATCCCTATAATGTGGTGCACGACATTAGGGGTCACATCTATAGGACCTATTTAGCGACCTTGAAAAATAATTCTTTAAACCTGACCTTTAAAAGGCGTTTACAACAAAATAAGGGCAAATGGACAGACCGGCGGACACGGTATATTACAATATATACAAGTATCATTGGGGGATATTCGATTGGACGTTCCGGAATTTAATTATCTAAATCTGAAAAATAGTGACAATCAAGTGAAAATGGGGACTTCCAGCTACAGTGCATGCGTCAATGGTATAAAAAATATTTCGACCAACCATATCATCTGAAACATATTCGTTGTGTTTAATTACGTGACGATTCTTTTCACACCACCTCCGTTGAGGTGAGTAGGACTCGATTGCAATTCCGTCAATTCGGGACGTTCCGGACTAACTATCAGGCATCCCCTAAGTAACCATTCTTACCACTGCTGAATCGAACAAAAACCAAATCAGCCGGTTTGCTGGCCATCTTATGAAATGCAACGGTGATTGGCGAATTGAAAACCTTGCTTTGAGTTGAGTAGCTTGTCACACCGGATTGTTCTGTACATGTTTCAGGGAGGTTGCCATCTGATGATGAAATGTTCAGTTTACAACAAGTATCGGGATGAAGCTGCAGTGCGTAGACATTAACAGTTATAGTAGCCCCAGGAGAGCTGATTCTACAACTACAGTCAATTGTAGTCGCAGGTGTTCTAGTACTGCCGTTATAATTTATAAATCCCTCAGAAAATCCTTTTTTTGATCCTAATTTCATGGCGTTCAGGATACTGGATTCTGAAATGTATAATAATGAGGTAGAGTGTAGTGGTATTGGGTTTGGTAGTATCGGGTAAATCGTTCTACCGTTCAATACACCTTAAATTACTCTCATTATTTCTGAAAAGCTTTTACAAATGGACAATCTAGAAGCAATCTAATCGATTCCCCGGAATTTCCCAGCGTGGTTTCCCCTTGTCAGTGGTGCAGGACGGAGGATCTGACAATGACCGTGCCTTGTTGTTCGGGTGTGACGAAAAACCGAGGCTTCGTGTACTTGTTGGCATGCACGAGATATAAGACTAGGCCGTATTGTGTCGCTGCCCGGACAAAGGCACACTGATAGCGTACTACGCCCGTCTTCATTAGCCCAGTCGTTGTTGAAAACATGACGTTAAACCTATTTCATTTCATTCGACGAACGATCAAATGTTGTAATAATACGCTTATGGTAAAACATAGTATACAACTGCAAGCTATATAAGAACATCTGAGCTCTGACTAACCAAATAGTAAAAGCAAGTAAGACCTACCTGGTATGCAATCATACCTATAAAAGGCATAGTTGTTACTGCCCGGTTCTCTATACTGGGGAGTAGCCACACACGACTGCTTCAAAGTACATTCGTTATTCAAATCTTCTAATTCTTTGCCCTCAAACTTCTCCAAGGCATCTTGAGAGTGATACCTACAGCACTTGCTTTCTTTGTTTCTATTACAATTACTCATTTCACAGTTAGGATTGACGTAAGGTCTATGACCAAAATAAGTAGATGACGTCAGACCTATTTTCTGATTATCCTTGCACTCGAGACGATGCTGTGAACAGTCTTCTGCGCCATAACAATATTCCGCGATATGTTCTGTTCTTCCACAAGCACCTATAAATAGATAACATGAACTATAATGAATAAAACATGAAATCAAATTCCGACTGTGCTATTGGATTTTTTTTCCCATGCTGCGGTACTACGGTTTACTATTATACCGAATTTCAACTGCCAATGGATCTTTTACTTGCAAGCCAATATCCTCGGTTTTTCGTTCCATCCGAACGGTGAACGACTGACTATACGTTGTCGCTTGCCAGACACCACTGACATGGAGGGACCATGCCGGAAAACAGGGACCCCAGGATTACACATTGAGCCACCCTGGCTCCTGAATAAATCAAATTTATCATTATGGCCAAAATACAGTTTATCAGTGGTAGATACATACGTTATATTTTGAGGACACCAAAGTAGTCGTGAAACAATAGCATTCTTTGCGTATGAATTGTTGGTGATTATGGTGTTAAGAATAAAGATAAATACCTTCTACGTCAATTCCACAACCAGTACACGATACTGTTATTTGTGCTTCTGAAAATAACGTGTTAAAAATTAATATTATTTGCCAATACATGGAAGCTTTAGGGAATAGATTATGGACGATTGAGAGACTTTGTTAATTTTTATAGCAAAATTCATAGTTTCTACAGGCATGGGGAAATTTCTGCTTGAGTACCAGAAAGAAAATTATGAGACCAAATTACCGCTTCTCACAGTGATTTACAAATAAAATAACCAGCGGCTGCCAGGCAGGATACGCCCACATTTTCGAGAGATGGATAGAAAACAAGCTAAAACGAAAGTCATTTTTCCTACAATCAAGGGCCATAATTCAGGAAATTACAATTCGATATGCGCAAATATCGAAAGGAACCAAGATCTTTGAGTTTTAAACCTACATTTTAAGTTTCAACAAAATCGGATAAAAATTGTGACCTCTATAGGGCCCACAACCTTGATATACCATATTTTTACGCTATTTGAGAACGAAGGGCGGCCATTTTATCTGTCAGTTTTTGGCCGATTTTCACGAAATTTGAACTCAGTCGGCCTTAGGGTGTAACGGTGATATAATAATATGATTTTTTAAATCGGATAATAATTATGACCTCTATAGGGTCCACAAGCTAAAAACGTGATTTTATGTACAATCAGAGGTCATAATTCATGAAGTTACGGTCCGATATGCGCGAATATCGAAAGGAATCGAGATCTTAGGGTTATAAACTTACATGTCAAGTTTCAACAAAATCGGATAAAAATTGTGACCTCTATAGGATCCACAACCTTGATATACCATATTTTTACGCTATTTGAGAACGAACGGCAGCCATTTTGTCTGTCAGTTTTGGGCCGATTTTCACGAAATTCGAACTCAAACGTCCTTAGGGTGTAACGGTGATATAATAATACGGTTTTTTAAATCGGATAAAAATTATGACCTCTATAGGGTCCACAAGCTAAAAACGCGATTTTTCGTACAATCAGGGGCCATAATTCAGGAAGTTACGGTCCGATATGCATGAATATCGAAAGGAACCGAGATCCTTGGGTTATAAACTTACATTTCAAGTTTCAACAAAATCGGATAAAAATTGTGACCTCTACAGTGTTCACAAGCAAAAAACGTGATTTTTCGTACAATCAGGGGCCATAATCCATGAAGTTACGGTCCGATAGATGCCAATATCGAAAGGAACCGAGATCTTAGGGTGATAAACCTATATTTTAAGTTTCATTGAAATCGGATAAAAACTGTGACCTGTAGACTGTTCACAAACAATGGTGGACGGATGGACGGACGGACGGACGGACAGGGGTGACGGCAATATACGTCCACATGAAAATGTGGGCGTATAAAAATATCATACATCATGTGATCAAAATATATATTACTCGGCTGTTGAGATTGGGGTTCACTTTTTAATTACATTACCGGAAGCTTTATATACATGTCGCGTGACTTAAAGGAGGCAAGTCTCTAACTCAATATCAACCACAGTCTTCGACATTGCAAACATGACTTATTGGTCAATGTAAATCAACAATGATTTTGTTATCTTTCCGTAAAAAGATGGGCTTCTGATATCCAAGACAAAATGAAAATTCTAAAATTGGCACACGAATCGTGTACCAGAATGCTTTCGAGTGCCATTTGTAACGAAGCGATTTGATGAACGGGGCTAAACATACCCCACGGGAGAATGCTATCGGTGTAGACTGGAATAACCATACGCCAAAGACAGCCATTCAATTTTTGACCCTTTGCGTATTTTGCCGAACACAGCTGATTAGAAATTGAGGCAAAAAAGAAATGATTGAATGTAAATCATTACATTATTAAATGCGTTGCGACCCATTTGTATCCATTTCTAGGTACAAAATAATAGAGGTTTAGGGTATCCAGATACTACGATCAAATCTCCCCAGGAAAGATGTTTATAAACATGCGGTGGCCATGCAAGATACGCCCATATTTTGCAAGTCATGTTCAGAGAACAAGCTAAAAATAAAGCGATTTTTTCGTACAATCGGGGGCCATAATCGAGAGTGTTACACTCCAATATGCCCGAATATCGACCGGAACCGAGGTCCATGGGATATAAAAATACATTTTAAGTTTCATCAAAATCGGATAAAAGATGTGACCTCTAGAGGGCCTACGGCCTACACTATCTGCGTACGTAGAGCAGCCATTTTGTCGGGCAGTTTCAGTCCGATTTTCACGAAATTCGAACGCCATTATGGTGTAACGGTGAAAATGTTTAAACGCTTCTTTAAATCGGATAAGAATTGTAACCCGTAGAGGGACCATTTTTCTTGTATGATGATTTAACTAAAAGTTGGTGTATAATATTCAACAGACGGCACTAAAAGGCCTATTTTTAAACAAAAATCACCGATTACTAACCTTGAATGCAGTCGAAGATATAACGAGTAAATGTGTAATTGGTTGAGCTGTCGCATGTTATATCAAAATGACTTGTGACTACAGGTATTATACTTTTACACTATTTGTAGTACTAGGGTCTTTGTGACCATATTGTATCTTTAATTAATTATTAGATTCACACATTGTAGAGAAGTCATATCTCACGTACCCAAATTAGAATCAGTGATGTGTTGGCACATAAAAATATTTATATAACCAAGACATAGCTGATTCTGTGTGAAGAACAAAATATCACCAGATCACTCGTGGTGGAAAATTACTATTGCATCATTTGGCTTAGTAACCAATCATTATCATTAAATACATCATATTTGACCAATTAGATAATTGAAAGGCGAAACACAAGGGTAGAAAAGCAACAGAGCTGATCTATTACGCATTGTAACCATATGTATCCAGCTTGACATTAAAATTTGGGAGTATAATAAAATTAACTTACTGACAGTGTTTAAAAACTGTACCCAAAAGATGTCATCTGTTCTAGCCAGTAGATTCTCTACCTTTAAAGTCACAGGAGTTTGTATATGAGTAACAAAACGATACGTCTCTTGCAATCCACTACTGTTACAAGGTGGTAATTGTAGGTCAGAAAGCATGGTTGAGAAACTGGGACAAGTAGCGGCATCTAGTTGTATATATTGTGTATAGAGGGTGAGTGTTTGGGCTTCCGAACTAATCGTACAAGAACAATTGATACCCAGAGAATCTCTCCTCAGATCACCAAAGTAAAACATATAGGCATACACGTTCGTAGTGACGTCATCCTTACACACCATGCTCAATATATTTGACTCTGGAGCAAAAAATGAAAAATAAAAAATAAACAAAACCTTAAAAGAACAAACAACAACCTTAGAAAGCTAATTAAACATACATTATACATGTACAGGAGCTAAATTGTTTTTAGCTGCGATTAGGAGCCTTCAGTTTGACGTGGCAAACTCAATTTTTTTATTAATACATGTAACATCTTAAAAATAAAATACTTTTATACTATTATGACTTATTAAACTTACATGGGCCAATGTAGTGACACAACTATCGCCTTATTCCAAATATTCGCGTTTAAATTAATTAAGCGTCGTTTGTATCCGACTTGGAAACGCCATCGAAGTCCATCCTACACGCTTCTTTTCATTCGGAAAACCTCGAAATCTGGACCGCATCTGGTACCCTACATCTATCATCGGCTGTGCGACGGTAAGTGATATCATGATAATATGTAGCTAAACCCATACAATTGTGATGCGGCTCCCGGTTTACTTATTATTAAAAATTGCCGCTTTAAGAAAGAAATTCTCAAAATGGCGTAGTTCGAAGAGTGCGTGGAGCTTTCAGTGCACGGTTGTATGGAATCGGAGTTAACCAAGGTGTGCCGAATGACTTCTTTTAATGACAGACAGCTTTTCAAGATGGCTTCCTAGTAACCACTTACAACGCCTCGATTTAAAATGCAATGATTTGTATCCATTTCAGGTAGGATTATACGCGTAATTGTAGTTGGGTGTGGCACAAATATTATAAATAACAATAATCAATCGTTGTTTTGATGAAAAATATTGTCATTTTTGTTTACTAATGCCCGATGCGATTCGCGCTCGCATTTGCTACGTTAAAGTTAATAGGACCATCTCTTATCTCGAAACACGGAGGGCTGAGAGATGAGGTTTGTTATCTAGACTTTAATTAACTTATCCAGACCATAATCAATTATTGATGCCATCGCTAACCTGCGATATTTAACGGATTGGAATGCATTTTTTGAAAAATAAATAAACGTAAAATTGGATAATCATGACATTGTTTTTATCGCACCGACTTTACTAATGATGATCGAGGCTAGCATAAAATTCAAAAGCTAATATCTCGGTTCAGAATGGAGCAATTTGAAAGAAATTTTGAGCATATTCTGCTCACATCATCTATTTTTTAACTATTATAGCGAGAACTGTCAACTCTTTATCTAATCTCCCACAAAGCTCCAATCTGTTCCACAGAGTATTACGAAAGTCTTCTAATATCTCTGTAAAAGATGACTGCCTTCAACACATGACGTCACATCACACGGCATCAATCATTGGCTCAATGGCGCATCGATGTAATCCTTATCGGTGATTGTCGCGGCCTAGCGAATATTCACTGCTGGTCAGTGTGATAAAGCCCTTTTAAGTATTACATAAAAAAACGATCTTTTCATTCATCAAATTTCACAGGCACTTGAGGGGATTAAAATCAATTTTATTACATTGGAGGCTGTATAATGATCAAAAATACGGTCTCGTTGGCAATAAAAAACCTGGGTAGTGTTAGAACTGGTGGGTATAGTGAGATGATAGTAGACAAATGTCTTCAACGAGCCGGAGCCACAGTGGCTAAGTGGGTAAGACGCTGGCTCGCTAGTCTGGAGGTCGCGTGTTCGGTCACTGCATTGGCCGAGAAAGTTCATCGGGATTTTCCGGCGTGGTTTCCCCTTGTCAGTGGTGCAGGATGGAGGGCCTGACAAGCGCAGCTGTCTAGCCATTCGGATGGGGTAAAACAGAACACCAAGGTCCCGTGTATACATTGGCTTGACGTAAAAGATCCCTTGGCAGTTGGGATTCGATATAAAAGTGGGCCATGGTGTCGCTGCCCGGGCAAAATTTCCCTCATAGCACACTAAAAATCGTATGTCCGTCTTTATTAGCCAAGTCGGAGCAGAACAGTAGGACGTTAATCCCCAAATTTCTGCAACGAGTTAAAACAATATGGCGGGTGATACACGTGTTATTATAGTAATAGTCAAGCAGTAGTAAGAAGTTTTATTTTAATCCCTGTGTCAAACTTGTATTTATACTGGTAATTCAATTCCAAAAATATAATTAATATTTTTTATATGAATATTTAAATGCATTTTCTATAAACGGTCTCTGTCACATTTCTATTAGCCGTGGCTAAGTGGGTAAGACGCTGCCTCGCTAGCCTGGAGGTCGTGTGTTCATCCCTGCATTGGCCGAGAAAGTTCATCCAGATTTTCCGGCGTGGTTCCCCCTAGTCAGTGATGCAGGACGGAGGGCCCGACAAGGACAGCTGTCTAGTCCTTCGGATGGGACGAAAAACCGAGGTCCCGTGTATACATTAGAATGCACGTAAAAGATCCCTTGGCAGTTGGAATTCGATATAAGAGTAGGCGATAGTGCCGCTTCCCGGGCAAAATTTCCCTCATAGCACACTGTATGGCGTATGTCCGTCTTCATTAGCACAGCATAGGAGCAGAACAGTAGGACGTTAAACCCCATTTCATTTCATTTCTATTAGCCATCAATGGTACCCACAGTCTATATGGATTTACGTCTTCGGACTTTTTGGGTGGCCAAATGATGTAACAAAGTCTGTCATTGAGTACAGAGGCGTGGTTTCGCCTCCGCGCTTACGTGACAAGGGATAGGATCGCTTGTTCAACTTTGTGGGTTTTCTCCGGTTCCCTTTCACAGCTAACGACCCAAACGCGCAAGTGAATTACTGATTACTAACCTTTAATACAGTCGAAGATATAACGTGTAAATGTGTAATTGGTTGAGCTGTCGTATGTTATATCAACATTACAAAATGGCTTGTGACTACAGGTATGCTGAACTTTATCAAATAGTTCTGATGGAAATGGGTATCTTTTTTCTCCATTTATTGAAAATCTACAGCATTTTGATCCGCCATTACAAACGTCAGCACCACTCTGACAATTTTCTGACGGATCGTCAGTACCAAACTCGGCAATTCGTACAGATAATACCTCACCATCCGGACATGTTAACGTGTTTGTCGTACAGGATAGGGTTGCCGGACCGTAACAAAACGATACTTCCTTCAAAAAACCTTAAATCAAATTATATTTAATTATTAGTTAATTTCTGCAATAAACAATGGATCAACCTACGTCACTCATTTTCTGACGTGTGAAGTGACGTTGGAACAATATTCTGAATATTTATCTAGAATGAGAAATCGTTTTGTACAATAACACTAGGGAACTTATTGTTCTCTTCCAACATTTTGAAATTTATTTTATTACTTCCAATCAAACAACAAGTTATTTCAGGGAATTGATATCAAGACATCAATTTTGTTTTCTCGGTGTAGAACAACGGTATTGAAAATGATTAGCTATATTATTCGTTTTCCGAATATTAAGGTCTAAATCTTTAGTCGTTCGGGTGGGACGAAAAGCCGGAGGCCCAGTGGACACGTTAGTGTACACACAAAAGACACCTTTTGGAATTTGAAATAAATTATTCCGTAGCAGCGCCGCTATCCGGGCAAAATTTCCCTCATAGCAAATTGCTTGGCGTATGACCGTTGTCATTAGCCCTGGTGGAGCAGAAAAGTAGGACGTCAAACCCTATTTCTTCTCGTATCATGTCTATATACTATATCTTACCTGGAACACTCAGTGATAGAAACACAATAATTTTAAAGACAAACATTTTGAATGTTTCTCTGGCGAATGTTAGTTATATTCCAGTGTCATGTAAAAACCAAAATCCAAATTTAATGTGAATTCTTGTTTTACAAACCATATACTTGTACAGATTATATTTCCATATAATCCATATCAACTAAACACGTTGATGACATTTCTATCAATAATACAAATGTTTATCTTTTAAATATGTTGAGAAAATAAAATAATGTCGCAGGTCTGGTAAAAATAGAACACACTTTTTGTGAAAAACAATCGCTGGTTTTATTATATAAGCACAACGTTTCGACAAATATCCTCGCACCCTTATCAATCTCTATTACTAAATCCCACTTAAAGATTAGGTCTAGTATTGCCGTGTAGTTATCGACGTGTGTCTGTCTATCTTAGATAGGCCTATCGTTGACTGTGAAGTGATTTGAAAAGATTGACGGGATTGTCAGAATAACGTTGTTAGGCCATTGATTAGCGATTAACAAGATAATGGCTGGTTGTGTCAAGACATACCATTACAAAATAGTTTTTTATGTTCTTATTCAAGACAGATACGAATACACCTGACAATAAAAGGCGTAATAGAATGACAGGTACATACACATTTGACATCGGCAATCACACATATAGGTTTTGATATAACCCCCCCCCCCCACCAAAGCCGATTCTATTTTGACAGGTGTTATCGGTTGGGACTAAAATAGACCCCCAACAAAATGACGGGGAAATATATCTGGAAATAACTGGGGTTACATGAAAATTTGTCAAAAACAAACCGTTGTGCGACCAAATTTGGTGGATAGCTGGGATTGCATGAAAATTTAAAAGTAAAAAACAAACCGCCGTCCAACCAAATTGGCAATGGACATGAAACATTTCTTGATAGCTGGGTTGGGGTTGCATGAAAATTTCTCAAAAACAAGCCGATGTCAGACCAAATGATTTGACTTTCTCGTCCCGAACACGTAACATCAGCAAAAGAAATTTATTACCATATGTTGATCTCAAAACATACATGTAAACTGAAGGTGTTAAGACGATCTTATAGAGACGAACATTACGTCGATTTATCTAAACTTAAATTATACCTCAACCTTTAACTCAGTATTTTCATAATCTTCGAAATTAAAAACACGAATTAGAATTTAATATTGGTCCATTTTACATATTTCACCGAACATGATTGATTAGAAATTCCAATATCAGTTTCAAAAATTGATCTCAAAACATACATGTAAACTGAAGGTGTTAAGACGATCTTATAGAGACGAACATTACGTCGATTTATCTAAACTTAAATTATACCTCAACCTTTAACTCAGTATTTTTCATAATATTCGAAATTAAAAACACGAATTAGAATTCAATATTGGTCCATTTTACATATTTCACCGAACATGATTGATTAGAAATTCCAATATCAGTTTCAAAAATTGATTATAAATCATTTTGTATATACTAAACAGCAAAAGAAACGCCAGGTTGGTATGTTACTCTGAATAGATGCATAAAACTTGCCAAATGTTTTTATTGTACATTTCTGACCATATCTCCAACTTTACCTGAAGGCTCCTTCCCAAACACAGAATTGAACACAGGAAATGTTCTCAAAAACGCAACCTGATTTCTGAGATGGTAATGTTTTCTCCATGATTTTCATGTAACTCATGCTGCACGTGCTGTTCACCGGGACCACCAGCCCTATAAAATGCACCCCTATACCTGGTTGAATCATTCACACTACAACGTAAGCAGCATGCCACGACTCACGACAGCTCAGAGGAGAAGAACCATGCGCTGGCCACACTGCCCAATCCGTTGCCAATCACTTCCAGGTCAATGTTCGGACTATCTACAGGCTTCAGCAACGCTTTCGGGCCACCAACAACACGAATGACCAAGGATTACCACAAGGCGACAAGACCGCCATGTTGTGCGACAGCACGTGCAGAATCCCTTCACACGTCAGACAGTGGGAACACACGGAAGACCCATCAGTACCGATACAGTGCGCCGACGTCTCACCAGAGAGAACATCCGTTGCCGTAGACCTTACCGTGGACCGATCCTCACACCTAGCCATCGACGTGAACGTCTACAGTTTGCCCAACAACACCAGAACTGGCGACACAGGCAATGGAGAACTGTTCTGTTCACAGATGAGAGTCGGTATTGCATATCAACTGCAGATGGCAGGACTATGGCGTCGACGTGGCCAGCGTTATTCTGACCAATATGTCATGGAATGAGACTCATGGGGAGGTCCAAGCATAATGGTTTGGGGTGGAATCGACCTGAACCAGATATTGGGTCCTCTGGTGTTTTAAAATCTTGGTCAGGGAGAGGAGGTGGCATCACAGCAGTGCGCTACATCGATCAAGCACTCAGACCCCACGTTATACCACATTTCGAATGTCATCGAAACAACGTTTTTCAGCATGACAATGCCAGTGCTCACACCGCCAGAGTTACTCGGGACTTTCTACAGTAGAACAGTATCAACGTTATGCACTGGTTAGCCCGTAGTCCGGACTTAAACCCGATTGAACATCTCTGAGATGAAATTCAGAGGAGACTTAATAACGTCGTACCGAGACCAAACACAGTCGATGGATTGTGATTGGCTTTTCTGAGAGTGTGGTTCCAGGTGTCAATGTCGTTCATCAATCGTCTGGTCTACTCCATGTACAGACACTGTGCTGTTGTTATTGACACTCGCGGTGGACACACCAGATACTGATATATAGACTGTGTACAGTCTCTAAACCTTCTCGTAATGTCTTGGAATTGTGATGAATTAATCACTAATGTGTCAACATACTGTTCACAAAAAATTGCTTTGATCCATTTAGTAAGTCTTTTTGATTTGATTAAAGTGCCTCTCTGGTTTTGAAATCGTACTGACATTTGTTTTTGCTGTTTAGTATATTTATTACCCAAAGATCTTGGTCCCGTTCAATATTCGTGTATATCGGATCGTAACTTCCTGAATTATGGCCCCTGATTGTACAAAAATCGCGTTTTTAGATCGTGGTCCCTCTAGAGGTCACAATTATTATCTGCTTTAAAAAACTGTTCTAATATATCACCGTTACACCGTATTGTTGGATGTGTTCGAATTTTATGAAAATCGGACCAAAACTGCCAGACAAAATGCCCCCCCCCCCCCGTACGCAAATAGTGTAAACATCTGGTTTATCAAGGTTGTGGACCCTCTGGAGGTCACAATTTGGATGCGATTTTGATGAAACTTGAAATGCGTGTTTATAACCCAAAGATCTTGGTTGATGTCGATATTCGCGCATATTGATTTTGATGAAACTTGAAATGCGTGTTTATAACCCAAAGATCTTGGTTGATGTCGATATTCGCGCATATCGGTTCCTGGATGTATCCTGATTGTAAGAAAAATCGCGTTTTTAGCTTGTTGTCCCTTTAGAGATCACAATTATTATCTGATTTAAAAAAAACCGCTCGAATCTATCACCGTTACACCTTAATGTTAGTTGAGTTCGAATTTTGTGAAAATCGGCCGAAAACTGCCAGACAAAATGGCCGCCCCTCTACGCAAATAGTGTAAACAACTGGTATATCAAGGTTGTGGACCCTCTAGAGGTCACAATTTTGATCCGATTTTGATGAAACTTGAAATGTATGTTCATAACCCAAAGATCTCGGATCCTTTCGATATTCGCGCATATCGAACCATATATTCCTGGATTATGGCCCCTGATTGTACAAACAATCACATTATTTTTTACCTCGTTCTCTGTCCATCTCTTGCAAAATGCATGGCAACCGCTTGTCGTCTTTTTCAAGGTTCTAAGAATTGAGCCATACGCACTTTAAATTGAGTTACATACATTAGCTTCATTCCACCTGAAAGTGTTTATTGAAGTAGATATTTCATCTTTTAGCACACTCCTGATAGTGGAATATTGATTTGTAAATTTAAACTCATTGTTACCGTCCTTGAAATACGTATACCTACAATCATTATAATATTCACCTTATATGTTATAGAAGACCAACACATCATCACACTGATGCAGAGCTTCATACATCAGACATAAAGTTGTTGGCAAATGTGGCATATATACTGGAATCGTATTTTTCGCCTGCTTTGTGCCATGCCGAAAAAATATCAGTAAAAATAAACGAAAATGAAATGGTAATTGTAATTTAATTTTAATAGCATTCGGGCTTGTGTGGAGCCATTTGACTCGTTGTGTATTCTCTAGTCATTTGACTCTAATCTATTTGCATTGTTTCACTTTTGACTCACTACAGTTAGTCGCGTTACTCATCTGTTGTGTCACATGACTCAATAAAGCAGTCCAAGAACTCACTTGACCAGACGAGTCACTTGACTCTCTTAAGGCGGAAATTGCAAATTTTTAAAATTTATTAAAATAAAGCCTGAAAATAGATGGTATCCATAAACAGTCCAACCTTGTTAAAGAATAATCATATTAATCCTATAATTCACTATTGCTAGCTGAGAAATTGGCAAAAATATCATTTTCCTCTTCATTTTCAAACGTTTGAAAAAAAAAGCTACTCCATGGTGGAGAATAGAAAACAAGGGAGGTAATTGGGAGGTAATTGTGTTATTTTTTCCTGTGTAAATGAGTTTTAAGTGTGAGAATGACACCTATGATCGTATAATTGTGAGTTGACAACCTATTGAGCAAAAGACATAGAAATAATTACGTTTTGACTTTCTTAGAAAATTTGAAATTCTCGCTTTAACGAGTCGTTTTATGGATTTTTGGGTGAGTCACAAAAATGAGTCTTTGGATATATTATTTGAGTCCCTTGTGTGTCCCAAGTTAGTCCCAAGTTAGTCAACGAAAAGTGAGTCGTTTTATGGATACTCACCCAAATGAGTCAACTGACACACTTTTTTCTCTCCTTGTACGGGACGGGGTTTTAACGATATTGAATCAGGGTTGATCAGGTTTAACACCTAACTTTGCTGCTCCGACGGGGCTATAAAGAAGACATACATACATCACACGGTGTGCTATATGTCAGGTGTTCGTTCCCGATGTTGCTCGAGTATGTTTCCCTGGATTTTCCCCAGCGCTGTTTCTCTTAGCTGTGGTGCATGCAGTACGGAGGGCTTGGCGAGAAACGATGTCTAGTCGTTCGGATGGGACGAAAACCAGAGATACTGTTACAGCTTAACGCGGATTAATCCGCGGAAAATTTGATACCTTCCGAAAATGCAAATGACGCAGAAAGGCTTAAAGAACTTGAAAATATAATAACAAATATAATATCATTGTTGCGCCAAAAGAACGTAATCTATCTCGCTATTCCGTTTGGTCTCGCATGATAGCAATCTCATTAAAAGACAGACTCTATTTCGTTTCGTTTTTTTATAGTTCAAAATTTCGTTTTACT